CATTGGAAAAGTTTCCTGTTTTCCCTTTCTCATATATGAAATAAGCTATTTTAATTACTTTAGGGAGGAAAAAAAAATTCCCTACACATATAGTAAAACCCAGAAAACCATGCCTGGTTCTAGAGAAACTTATCTGCAAGTTGTTTGTCTCTGTTTCTCCCCAGCAAACACTCTCAGAGCTCTTCCAGCCAGGACCATCTTCTCCAGAAGTTCACATTCTGAACTTTTAGGTAGTCCTAAAGCGGTTGCTTGTGCAGGGAGCCCAGTGGGGAGGGCCTGGTCAGCAGCCAGTACTGCTTTCAGGGCAGTTAATGTGCAGAGGGTCATACTTCACTTGGCAAAGGTAAGCCTGGTTCAGACTTTTGGCTTTATTAATGAGAATAACTATTTTCTGAATCACAGAATCACTATGTTGGAAGAGACTTCTAAGATCATTGAGTCCAACTCAGCCCTAACACCTCAACTAAACTGTGGCACCGAGTGCCACATCGAGTCTTTTTTTAAATACATCCAGAGATGGTGACTCCACCACCTCATTGGGTAGAGCATTCCAATACTTTATCACCCTTTGTCTTGGTTTGAAAAGACAGGTGTCTACTAAGGAAGGCAGAAACCTCCCTTGAAATGGAAAAAATGTAAACCCCCCACCCCAAATTATTATAATCTTGAAATCAAGGGGCTCTCAGGCTAAGATATGGGAATAGAAATAACAGTTTTTTACTAAAGAATTTTTAAAAAATACAGTAGTACAAAAAACAACCCACTGACAAGAGTCAGAATACAGTCTGACACGCTGTTGGTCAGGGTGTTGGTAGCAGTCCAATTAAATGGTGGCTGCAGTCCTCCTGGAGTGACAGATGTGGTTCTGTAGAAGCAGTGATCCTGTAGAAGGGTGTAGTTTTCCAGTGAAGGTCCAGTGGTGAAGATGGGTCTGGTCTCTGGTCTTTCCTCTGGGAATCCAGTGGAGAAAGGCTGCTGTGGTGTTCTCTGATTATATCCAGGTAGGAATGCAGGGCTCCTCCCCCTGGGTGGAGCATCTCACAATGGGATGTTATAATTTTATCAGTTGTGCAGTGAGACTCAATGGCCCACTAACAGCAAATATCCCCCTGGAGGGAGCATGGGTCATGGAAGAGATAAAGAACACTGCCACACCTGGTTTTAACAGATGGTAATAGAATACATACTTCTGGTTGCATCTTGCATTGCAACCCAAGACACCAAGGAACTCTCTGAGTAAGTCTTCTAAGTAGGCCAAAGTCTGCCCTCTGAAAGTCCAATGTAAAAGTTTTATTGATGTTTCCCTTGATTTCACCAAATATTAAAAATTCTATAATTTCATGATCACTATTCCCCAAGCGGCCTCCAACCACCACATCTCCCACCAGCCCATCTCTATTTGCAAACAACAGATACAATATAATCCCTCCCCTGGTGGGCTCACTTACCAGCTGTGACCAAAAGCTATCCTCAGTACACTCTAAAAGTTTCCTAGACTGCCTCTTTTCTGCTGTAAAGTTCTCAGCAGATGTCTGGTATATTAAAATCACCTAGAAGAACAGGGACTGGTGATGCTGAAACATTCCCCAGCTGCTTACAGAATAAGTTGTCCACCTCTTCTTTCTGGCTGGGTGGACAATAACAAACTCCCAGTAAGATGTCAGCTTTGTTGACCTTCCCCTTCATTCTTATCCATAAGCATTCAACTCCATCATCATTAGTTTCAATAACTGTGGCATCAAAAACCTCCCTAATATGAAGTGCCACTCCTCCACCTCTTCTCCCTTTCCTATCTCTTCTGAAGGGCTTGTAGCCATCCAGTGCAGTGCTCCAGCTATGTGAGTCATCCCACCACATTTCTGTGATGGCAACTACATCATGGCTCTGCTGTTGCACCATGGCCTCCAGCTCTTCCTGTGTCACCCATGCTGTGTGCACTGGTATACATGTACCTCAGCTGGGCTACTGATTTCACCTCTAACTCAGGTTTATCATCCTTGGGCCTGCTTCCAGATAGCCCAGCTGAATCCCCTTCCGCTTCAAACCTAGTTTAAAGCCCTGTCAATGAGTTCTGCCAGTTTATAAGTTAAAAATCCTTCTGCCCTTAACAGAGAGATGGAGCTCATCCAGTTCCAGCAGACCAGGTGCTGTAAAAGTAGCCCCATGATCAAAGAACCTGAAATTCTGCTGATGACACCAACCCTTGAGCCAGTTGTTGATCATGTGGGCTGAAGGAACACCTCAGTTCTTCACTCCCAAATCTGAAGGGTTCCAGTGATGAGTGTGTCCTCCCCAAACTGATGGACTCTGAGGAGATGCAAGCTGCTGGCACTGTGGGACCATGGGTTGGGAGGGCTTGAGCTCACCAGTGGGACATGGATACCATCACTGGAAAACCCAGCTGGAGGGGCCCTCAGGAGGCCACTCACACCTTGCTCCTGTCCCCAGGCACCACCAGCTGCCCATGACCCTTCCAAGAGGTGTCTAATCTGTCATTGGAATGGAAATTCCCAGCTCCCCAGGCAGCATGTCCCAGGGATGTTCCCAGCATCTGGAGGAGTGAAGGGAATGTAAAGGACACTGGATGCATGATATGCAGAGGAATGTATGGGATCTGTAGGGAGATAGTGGTAAATGGGTGTGCCTGGGCTGCAGGGGTCTATAAAGGATGTGGGAAGTGGATGAGGGCCAGAGGAGCTGTCTGGGTGCGGGGCCATGGGGCAAGGCAGAGCTCCATCCGGATGCTGTGCTGTCTCCTGCTCCATCTAGTGATGAAAATGGAAATATCCAGCGGCTTTGAGCAGGATGAGACTAGAGAGGGCTCTGTGAGGAGTCCTGGCATGGTGGAAAGGTGCCGGAGTGAGAACATCCAAATCCACCCAGAGGGCAGCACTTTGGGAAACTTCTGGCAATGATCTCTCTGGGAGAGGTCGTTTTACACTGTAGTGATGGGCTTGAGCATTTCATCTCATCTCTTCTCTGGCAAGACCTCCGGCGAGTCCTTGCTCTGATGCAACCCTGACCCATATCACTGAGCTCTGACCCAAAGTCTGGGGGCCAGGGAAGCAGAACATGTTTGTCTCAATGCACCTGCTCCTGCTGCAGAGAAAATGTGTGCTGGTCTCTGCCAAGGCCAAAGCAATGTCTCTTCCCTGGTTGGAGTGACATTGCACCACAGGCAAAATTACTAAAGTCCTTCATGAGTGGTGGATAACCTCGGGAAAGCTGACTGCACTTGAGTAGATGGGCTCTGGGAAGGTTTATCCCAAATCCTCACACATGTGCTAAAGACAGGCATCCTTACTCCATCTCTTACAGGATTCCTAGCACAGATAAGATGAAAAATCATTCACACCGAATGCTTGTCTGCTGGGCTCTGCTTAGAAGGAGACAAGTTCATTCACCAATAGCAGGAACTGGGAAGTGATGGTCATAATGCCCCTAAGAGCTTCAAGTTCCACAAGCTGGATTCAAGTGAGCATCAGGCAACTCTTGGCACTGCTCCAAGGGGTACTTGCACTATATTGCTGAGAGAACAGAAAGGCTGAGATGAGTCAAGGGCCTTTTTAAAGGCTGCCAAAGATAGCTTTTTCCCAGATGCTCTTGGTCCAGTGGGATGTGTGCCCTAGCAGAAAGAGCAGAGCTGCTGTGGGCTGTACCACCCCACTCTGGAGT